GAGCAGAATAAAGGACTTTTTATGCTGCATTCTAGCTGGAGTATATCCTAGACAAGTCAGAAAGCGGGAAGCAGCTTAATGTGACATTTTCATACAAAAAAGATAAAAAGATGGGGAAAACACAGAAATTGTCTAAAGTATAAATGGATTTGCCCATCTGAAAGATTTGACAGTTTGTCACATCTAAGTCTCTGTAATCTCTCCACTCTTGCAAGCTACTCAAGACAGCCACCAAGCCTCAAACGCTGCACAGCACACGTTCCGCTCTTTTGTTCAGCAAGGGGTAATTACACAAGACTGTGGCTGGATGTTAGGCATGTTAGGCCCACTGGTAAAGTAACTAAAACCCACAATGTAGGTTCACAGCATTGCCAGGCACAACAAAACATTTGCTTTTACACAAATATTTGTCAGAAGCAATAAAATGCATATTTGATAATACCACTGTATTCGTAAGAGCAAACCAAAATACAGTCATTTGAAGACAGAGTGCAAAAAGGAAACACAGGGGGAAAAAATTCACATAAAATTTAAAGGGACTAAGTACCAAGCTGTCAGATCAGACTTTGTACTGCCTCCACTGTACTGTTCAGGCACTCTCTTGACTATACACAGGAAGGCAGCAAAGAGTCTGTAATCCAATAATACGTGCTAGGTATCATGCTAGCACTTCACAGCCTTAAGTAAATCTGGGTTTATATATTTCTTAACATTGAAGAAACATCACTCTCATTCCACAGGCCAGGGGAAAAAAAATTTAAAAAATCAAATCAAGAAAACATGAAACCAAGAAGTTCACCAAAAACTTCAAGATTTGAGAGTGCATATTTTCTTTCGCAAGCTATGTAACGGTCTTTAGACACTCTTAAAACAAGGGCAAAGGCACTACCAGAGCAGACCAGAGCTGGCAGAGGGCATTGGGTCTCCCACAAACCTGTCCCTTAGTCACGGGACTGGGTGAGCGTGCAACTAAATCCCAGAGCAGCATGGCTGTTGCCAGTTCCTGCTGGCTCGCTTATTTTCCACTTTTAGGTTTTCAGACTGTCAAAGCAGTTCAGTGCTAGCACAGTTTTTCTACCCATTACATGACAGAGCTCAGTCACAGGAACCACTGTGGAACTTTTTGCAGATCAGGATTCAGGAAAGCTACCAAGTGGTCTGTCCCACCTTTGAATCAGGCAATACTTTCCTCCTCATAACAATTCCAAAAACTAATTCACCCGTACCCCAGTAATACTGACGCACAAGGCTGGGATTTAAGTTCAGCCTGCATGGAACCTCAGCAATTGCCAGGACAGACTGAAAGAGCAACTACACAAATGCAGAAAAATACTTGGAAAAAAGAGAACCTGTAACCTCACAAACACCTTCAGGGGATGTCTGCACCTTTACTGCAGGCAGTGACCGAGTTTTGACAAACTTGTATTAAGCTGCTGTAACCTAAAAGAGTTGCTGTGCAGTTCACTCCAAACAACAGCACTGGCAAGAGTTTTCTCTGGAAAACGAACACAAACCCAGTGCTGCCACGCCAAGAGCCACAAAGAGCCACAGAAGAGACAAGACCGCGAATGTACCTTGATGGCACAACACATCTGTGGCTGATGCCGGCACTGAGAAAAAAAGCCCTATGAAACTCCACATTCAAAGTTCTGACCATGCTCAGCATCTTTTTACTGGCAGTAATCTAGACAAAAATATTAACGAGGAGTTGTTTTCAAGGTATGACAATTCTGCTTTGGCCAGTTTTTATGGTTTACAAATCCCCTTTTCACAGTTTCTATAATACTGCGGTTCGAGCCGGGGGAAAAACCCGTATACAAAGAACAAATCAACCCCGGCGTACGAGTCAACATCTGAAACGCTGAGAGCCTGCCTTTCATCCTAAAAAACGTGGCGTGAAAACACCCGTGCGCAACAATCCCTGTTAAGTAACACCTAGATACGCAACCTACTTTCAGCCAGCGCCTGCCTTTTGCCATGGAGGGGAGGAAACAAATTAAAAAACAAACAAACAAACCCACAAATAAAGGCACAAAACAAGCAGACCCCCCCCACCCCCAGCGCCGGGGGCAGGCCGGGGCGGCGCTGCCGGCCCTGCCCGGCAGGGGGCGCGGCGCAGGCGGCCGGCGCTGTTGTTGTGGCCGCTCGGGGTATTTAAACGCCGCGCTGTCAATCACGGGCCGCCGCGCTCGCCCCGGCGCTCCCCGCACGGCGGGGGCGGCACCGCGCGCCCCCCGCAAGCCCCGGCCCGGCCGAGCGGCCGCCGCCGCCGCGGGCCCGCAACTTGCTCCTTTGTTTAACTGCCCGTGGATCCCCACCGCCGCCTCCTCCTCCTCCTGCCGGGCCTTTTATTATTCGCACGCTCGGGTCGCAAAACACACACAACACGCGGCGGCGGCGGCCGCTCGGGACCGGGCTGGAAACGTCAAAGCGGAGAGAGGCGCGGGGAGACCCTTCTCCTCCTACGCTCCCCCCGCCCCGCAAACAAAACGCACGGGCATCCTGGAGCTCGCAGCCGGCCGGGGGCAGCCCCGGCGCCCGCACTTCTCCGCCGGGAGACCGCCCTGTCCCGGGAGAGACCCCCCGGGGGCGCGGGGGGACACGCGGCGCCTCCGCACAGCCCGCACAACTTCGGGGTGGCCCCGGCCCCGCATCTGTTGCTCTTTCGTAACCGGCCCCCCCGCCCGGCCCGGCCCGTCCGCCCCCTCGCAGCCGCGGACCCATGTGCCCGGGGACGGCCGCCCCCGCCGGCACCGGCGCTGTCCCCACCGCACGGGGAGCGGGACCGGCCGGGCGCCCGCGGGTCCCTCCGTGCTGCCGCCGCGCAGCCATTGTCCCCTCGCCGGGAGGGAGGGGGGGGGGGGAGGCGACTGCCACCGCCTGTGCCCGGTGGCCGCCCGGCCGCCCGCCCCGGCCGCTGCCCCGCCGCGCCGCCCCGACCCCGGCGCTGCTCCCGGCACTGTACCTGCCGTGGAACCAGTCCTTGCAGATGTCGCACTCGATCATGAAGCGGCTCACGTCGTAGGGCTCGCGGCACACGCAGTACACGGGGGTCGCGGCGGCGGCCGCCGCTCCGGCCATCTTTAAAGAACTCCCTGACTGAGCCGCCCGCTCCTCCCCGTCCCGTCCCGTTCCCCCCGCCCCGCTCCCTCCGCCGCGGCCGCGGCGGCGCCGCCAATAACAACAGCGCGCGTGCCGGCCCCGCACGCCGCGCGCGCCCCCCGCCGCCGGCAGGCACGCGCACGGGCGGGCGGCTCGGGAGCGAGCGGACAACAGCGCGCGGGGGCGCGCGCACGTGCGTCACCCAGCCCCCGCGGAGGCGGGGGAAGGAGGAGGATGGGGATGGAAGGGGGGGGGAGGAGGGAACCGCCCCGCCCTCCCCGCCCGCCCCGCACGGCGACCGGCCCCGCCGCGCCTGCGCCCCGCCGAACGGAGCGCCCCTCTCTGCCCCGCCCGGTCCCGCCCCTCCCGGCCCGGCCCGAGGGCGGCGGGCACTGAGCGTGCGCGGGGGGAGCGCGATTTCCCTCCCCCGCCAGGCGCGCGGGGAGGAGCGCGCACGTGCCGCCCCTACCGGGGGGCGGGGCGCGGGGAGGCACGCGCTGGGCCCCCGCCCGTTAGCGTCACGCGGGGAGGGGGCGGGGAGGGGTGCCGCGAGGACACGGGCGGGGGGGGGCGGGACCCGGCGCGCGCCGCTCCCCCCCCCCGTTATGTAACGACCGCGGCGGCGGCGCCTCAGGGTCGGCACGTCCTGCCCTGTCCAGCCCTGTCTTCTCTAGTCTTGTCCCCTCTTCTCCCGTCCTGTCCCCCAGGAGCCGGCGCAGGTCGGTCGGAGCAGCTGCCGGGGCCAGCCGGGCTCTACTAGCCTCGGCACTGGGGCCCGCGCAAGTCTCCCTCGGTTCCGGCTGAATCCTCCTCATGCGAGTTAGGTACCTGAAGGGCCCCGCCGAGGGGCAGAGGAAACCAATGACGTACCACTCACATACTGCAATTTCTGAAAAGTGTTGTCCCCAACTCATCAGGCACAAACTGAATTCCACACGCGGAATGCTGGTGGACATGCACTGGTGCTTTCTCCCGGAGGGACCTCGGGGCAGAGGCACGTCTGATTTTAGGACAGGCCAGTGTTTCCATGCTGCCCAGCTGCGGGTTCCTCTCGTTTATTTCTTGTTCAAGCTCTCTGCATACGTTTGTACTTTTTCATCATTATTGCATTTCACGCCGTCACCCCTTCTTTCAGGACAGAAAAGTAACACCGATGCTTTCACTATGTGTCACCCAGAACAAGAAAGTAGAGCTTAAAAATGGAGTTGTTGTTTTCCTGCAGACTTTCAAGGAGCTATGGAGATTATGTGAGGAAATGGGGACTTGTGTCCTCCATGCTGAACGTAGGAATTTAAAAGCAAAACAATAAACATGTTTAAGCGCATGTTACAGTGATCATAACTGTAATAGACTAACACTGCCTACAGCATTATAATTTTATATCCCATGGCCTTAACCAGTAGCCACAAAAAAAGCAAACGCTGTACATTTGTTTGGCAGGGGGAAGCTCAGAAGTAAATGTTTCCTTTCCAGGCTGTTATTGTGAAGCTTGCTAATGTTAACGTTTATATAAGACAGCAATATGAGATGATGATTTGGCAGCAAATTGGACAGCAAAGAAATGTAAAACAAATAAATCCAGCATGCAGGCTCTGTGACTGAATGGAGAATGAAATAGAGATACAAAGGAAATGTAAAGGATATCTTCAAGAAACACCAGATTCTCGGACCAAACCCTGACCTATTTAGAAAGTTCTGACCTGCAGGACATTGTTAGTGGGTGTTTCAGTACTCTTTTGTTTCCCAACACATCCCAGTATTTCAACAACTGAAAATCTGTCCACGGACATATCAGTTGTCTAAAACACTGATGTTGTTTCATGGGGGTAAGAAACACCAGCAAGGTAACAAATGTCAATTTCAGGGTTTCAGGAAATAATACATACCAAGAGGCTTTCTCAGTAGAAATATTGTTTCCCTTTATTAATCTGATTCGAAAGCACACAGAGGAAGTCGCTTTCTGATCATAGAGGCTGCAAGCTCTGGCATAATCAATTACAGGTAATGGAACAACTACCAAGAAGCAACTGTTCCAGTTAAAATTGTTTGTGTTTGTGCAACAGTGTCAGTATATGTAGCCATGCTGGCGTTTGAAAACGGACGATTCCTTCCTTCCTCCTCAGTTTGGTGTTTCTTAGGTTGTCACACGTCGGGTCTTATCTAGAAGTTGCAGTTACCATCTGGAGCGATGACGTTGTCCAAATTGGCCATAAAAATGCACACGTGTTGTGTTTCAGGAGGTGTCTGCAAACAAGAGAGCCTCGGTGAGGCACACGTTGCGTAGGTTGGGTATTCCTGTAAGAGATGGGGTGAGGCTGCCTAACGTGAGCGACGTGGGAGGAGACCTGGCTTGGCTCAGGGTGAGTCCAGCACTACGGGGTTGGGTGAGGAAGTTTTCACTTGACACACAAGAAAGCTGCCCATCCATGAGAGTGCAAAGAATGAGGCAGCAGGCTGATCTCAGCACACTTCACAGGTCTTGATTACAGGACATTTTTTTTTTTTTTGAAAAAAAGAAGTTGTGACCTTAAGAGTGCAAAGTAAAGCTCATAGTGAGATGTAGGCAGGCAGGAGCAAAGAAGCCTTTCTTAAGAAAGGAGAGTGATCAGTGGAACACACCATCAGTGTCTGTCTGATGTACAGACACTGTCACGCTCCCCCTCGCCCCATGCTCTAGGTTGCACCCAGCCTACCATCCCCTCAGCAGCTGGAGTAAGCCAGTTGATCCTTCAAGCTGTGCCCAACCATAATCTTTCCACCCTAAACTCCACAATACGTGCCCTGCCCCACCAAGCACAACTTCTGACAAACACAACTTCCAGCCCCTAAACCCAGCAAGTCCCAGTGGATGCCTCCATCCCCATGCCTGGACTCTAGCAAATACCTTAGAAACACGTGGCTGGGGCTGGCAGGGGTGAGTGGCTCTGGAACTCAGAGGTACAGAGATAAGGAGCATCAGGTCTTCAGACACTAAAGTCAAGGTGAGGGATTGGGACACTGAGGACTAAAGAGCACCACCTCTTTCCTCCTCAGGGCAAGCCTGAGTGCTGGTACTCAGTAAAGCAGAATGCTTCTGCTTGTGTTTCAAGGAGTGCTGGCTGATAGCTTATGCTTAAGGTTGGAATCAGGCTGTGGGGTAAAAAGAGCCTAAAGCGTAGGATTATTCCTGAATAATGTGAGGATTGTGGAGAAATTATAAGGCCTGGTACCCAGTTCTTGTCATTATGAGATACAGCTGCAAAAGCACTTGAGCCAGTCACATCAAGTGGCTTTCCATGAAGTTTGTAGGGATGGTGGATGTGCTCAGCCTTAAGCTTGGGGTGAAAGATTGCCATGGGTAGGCAGTGGAAGGTAGAGAAAATGCCAGGAATAGGGAGTAAATCTTAGGACTGAGAAACTAGAATGATAGAAAGATGATACAGTTCCCTAGCACTATAATACATGCTTGTGCATATATGGGCCAGGTGTGTTGTATGGGTCAGTACAGAGTCAGGATCATAGTGGGGTTTGGGTCCTGCTGCTAAGTACAGGTCACATTAGCCAAGGACATTGCTAGGGGTTGAGTGTGAAAATTCTTCTGTGGTAGAAGTTAGCAATCAAATAAACAGAATTCATTTCACCCTGCACGCTCTACAGAGCAAATCCATAGTCACATCATCTTCATAGACAACCTTTGCTCTGCAACATCCTCCATCCACTGGTCTGTTATTCTCTAGCCATTCACAGATCTTCAGCAAGGTCCAGGGCGGGCTGAGGGCTGCTATCAGCAGGGAAAAATGGTTTATTGCTGGCTTTAAGATGCTGGGCTATGATTACAGATGAGGGTCTTAGCAAGAAAGCCATTCTTATCAAGGACGTGACTACCAGCACACTGCACATCAGCAAAGAGGATATGGGAGAAGAGAGCACTCACCATTGCACAATAAAAGCATCCAAAGCCCATGCCTGGCCTTGCATATCTCCCAAAGCACATGCCATATGCTGTACATGGCATAAAGGCAGGATAAAGAAGGGGGAGCAAGGCAGGGAGGTTGCCAGAAGGGAGAAAGGAACATTTTCTGGAACTTCTGTCTGAACCACATACAGGTACCCACAAATATGCCTATTTGTCTCTTGGGAGGAGGGAAGAACTCACAGCCATCAGTTCAAGGATGGTGGCTCTCACCTAGTAGGGCAAGGGTGGTTAAATAAACACCAGAGATGATACTCAGCAGACAGAGAGATGGCCCAGCAGCAACTGAGGCTAGGGAGAATCACAAAGAGAAATCAGATGTTAATAGCCATTTCCAGAATAACATGAAAAAAATCAGACAAACTATTGTGGAAACATGGGGGTAGAGGTACTTTCCACATGTTTGGCCATTTCTTCAGTGTATTTTTGCAGATTCTGGCAAAGTACTCATTTTTAAAATTACTTATTTATTTTCACATCAAGAGATTTAAGACTGCCGAAAAGCAAAGCTCTGGACTGAAAAAGCATTCCAGTTCTCTGTGTGAAACTGTCTGAAGCATACCCAGAATTGGCAGTACGATCTTTGCATCTGCAGAGAAAATACTGAGTCATGTTGTCAGCCCACACACATCTAACAAAAATAAAAGCAGACCAATGATTCAAGATTCACCCACTCGTCATTTAAAGAAAACACAAGTCATTCAGTCATGCCTCATGCTTCAGAGACCTTTAGAAAACACCCAGGGCAGGGAACATTCGCCCACGTCGCGCCCACGCACCATTTCAAACCAGAGATGTCATTTGTAACTTGTTCACTTGCAGGTCTGGACAGTGTTTGCTTCAGCATCCTCAGAGGAAGTTGCCGAGACTTAAAGGTTTCGGCTGAAGACATGAGACTTAAAGGTTTCTGCTGAAGACATGACACGGTAGCTGCTGCCTCAGCCCTTCTGTTAGCAATGCCGAAATGATGCAACATAGTTGCCCAGCTTGAATCCTTGGAGGAGGCAGGAAAGTGCTGTGTGCTTCATGGCAAGGCAAACTTAAGCCACAGTTTGTATAAGATGCTACTGTGCTCTTCCTTCAGAGGTTAATCCTGTACTGAAGCATTGGCTGTCCTGGTGCTGAGCTCCCGAATTGCTCATTAGACAGGGAGGTATTTGCACAAACATCAAGATTTGGGGAATTACCTAGAAAAAAACCCTCTTTTTGCCCCTTCCCACATTGCCTCCTAGCAAGAAAAAGCTGGTTTCCGCATTTCACAAGGCTGCTGGCAATCTCTCTTCCTCCTTCAGTTCTAAAAAGCCGCTTGAAGTATTAACAGCTGAACCTGGATGTGTGGCAGCCAGCCCAGCTCATGACGGAGGGGGAGACGTCACCACACGGAGGACGCATGGATGGAGTTACACAATCTGCGTGGTGCTGAAAGCAGCACTGGAAACTTGTCAGGAGCCCAAAGGCCAGAGCTAATTTGTATTTCCTATTGCACAGCATGATTTTAATCAGACCGAAAAGCGCCCAGTTGTGGTTTTTGTGCAGGGTGTTATGAGCAGGGACGAGTTAACAGAGCAACTATGGGCAGGACATGGTCTGAGGAAAGTGCAGAGATGAACATTAGATAGGGAAAGGAATAGCAGACAAGACTTTTACACCAAATTTATCAGCATTTCCAATGCTGTGATAGCCTAATACTCTTTATAAGAAGAAAGAAAAAAAAAAGACATCTGCAAAAAGCTTGAGAAAAGCTTATTTGAAAAAGCTCTTCCCAAAGGTTCAGGATATGTCACCAAGTAAAACACAGCATTCAGGAAACCCATCTCACTTGCAGCCAATATTTGACAGCAGTCAAGTCTAGGTGATCTCTGACATAAGCTGCTCTTCAGCTGCAGACAGGTGTGTGTGAGTTCCTCTTTACAATTAATTTTCTGCCTCGTTGAGAGCAGCCAGCACAAAGGACAGACACAGCCCCCAAGCACCACTGTTCCCAGCACAGGCTCCTCTTCAGCACCCCCTTTCCATGCTATGATGGATGGAGAGCGGGAGCTGGAGCCATTCAGTCACCTTGCCCCACCTGGGCTCACAGCTGTGCCCCTTCCCAGCACACAGCATTGGGGTGCATCCTTGTGAGCCACTAGCATGGTACAGAGAGGGAATGGGTCAGCAGGTTACTAGGAGAGTAAATACACCTTGACATTACTTGACTGGTTTGGTTTGTAGAGCTGGTAGGTTTGCTGGAAACTCAGAGGTGGGTTTGCTGCCCGGGGAGTGCTATAATTGGAGAAAATCCTTCATTTCAGCGTTCCTCTCTTTTCCTGCTGGGAATAAATGCTCTTTTTTCCCCTCAGTTCAGTTTTATTCCTTGACAGCTGAGAAAAAGAAAGAAAAAAAATCAAACCTGGGACCTTTATTTTGCTTTGCAGAGTGAGATGAACTGCATGTCAGGGATATAAAAGGAAGCCTGACAGACAAGCTCATCTGGAGCTTCCTATATTCAGTCCGATAAACCCTATCCCCGGAGCATTTTGCCCACCAGCAACCCCTTTTCTATTGTAGCCCCTGAAAGCAGCACCCTCTCTGCTCTCATTCCTCCTCCACATGCTCCTTTACCTCCCTCCCCCACACGCATTTGTCCCCCCAACTCAAACAGCTCCCCAAGGAGCTCAGGCACCACCAGTGTTCAGGGATGGGCAAAAGGGAAGATAGAGTCAGCTAAATATGCAAACAATCCTATTTGCACCCCTGCATGTACAATCCAGGTCTTTGTCAGCATGATGGAGTGCACTCCATCCAGTTTGTTTTCCTTCTCTGCTATTATCATCCACGCCCTTCCCACAAGAGCATTATCAAATGCTGTACCTGAATCAGCCTTTTCAAGATAGAAGCTGATTGCTGCCTGGTTAATACCTGTCCACCAGCTGCCTATTTGTTTTGTTTCAAAATCATAGCCAAGCATAAAATGTAGTGTAAAATCTACAGCTGCCACAAAAAAAAAAAAAAAAAAAAAAAAAAAAAAGGGCATCAGAAGCTTTTTCCTGGTGTCATTAAGACACTGGGTGAAAGCTTTTTCAGCTGCACAAGCAGTGAGCAGCCCTGCTTGGACTCAGCCCGTTGAGACTGGAGCATGATGCTCTTGCACTCCGAGGGGTTGTGTTTGGGAAGCTGCCTAATGCCTGCCTGCCTGCCTGTGTGCAGGTATCAGACGGTCCCACCTTGCACCACCCTGGATAGACGGACACCCCGAGTGGGAAGGACATCGGGGCAAAGGTGCAAAGTGCTTTTTGCGGCTGGGGGCGGCCGTGGCAGCCACCGGAGCAGCACCGGCAGGGCCCCAGGCCTGGCAGACAATAGCTGTCTCCCTGCTCTCTCTCCCTGCCGGCCGCATCCGACGGAGGAGTCTCATGAATCAAGTCAAACACCCAGCGACAGGCTGGAGAAATCCATTAATATGCGGCCGCCGCCGCACGTCGCCAGCCCCCTGCCTCGCGCGCCGCTCACCTGCCTGTCTCACCCCTGGCAGCAGAGCGGGAACAAAGGAGCAGGGAAGGACGGACGGCAGCGACTGCCCCCCGAACGGAGGGAGGCATCGGCTGGAGACAAAGCCCATTTGCCTGCCGCCATGGGTGTGAGGAATGCTCCCGCTCGCCCTATTGTCTGGGGTCCTTTGTGCTCCTCCACCCCTCCAGTCCCCAACCGCATAGGCAGAAATAGTGGGAGCAGGACAGACACGGCTTTGTTGAAGGGAGCCCTCGTTATGTGAGAAGTGGCCCTGCTGTACGTGCCCGTCTGGCCCACGGGCCTGCGCTCCTCCTGCCCCAGAGGGCAGGTAGGGAGCAGGAGGCTGCGGAGTACTGCAGGCAGAGCAACGGGGGCACGGGTGTTTCTCCACGCCCACGGGGAATCCAGCAGCCCCTTCCTGAGCACCTCTTGCTCCCTCCAGAGACTGATCCTGCGATGTCTTTGGGAGGTGGGGAATGGTCACCGGGTCCTGCAGAGAGGTCGTGAGGGCTGCCCTAACACCTCCCAACGCTGATCAAAGGCTTGTGAGCCTGGCTAAGCTGCATGAGGGAGCAGGTCTGGCAGCACGGACTTTGGGATGCACTGAGCACCCATTGCGCCACCCGTATTCCTCCCAGCCTTAGGAGCAGCACAGACACCTCTGCCAAACCTCCACTGCTTTGTCGAGTGGTGGCTGTGGCACCCTCATCTGAGCCACGTCTGTGGCTGCAGCATTGCAGCCCCTCGAGTCCTGCGGGGATGGTGGCAGGACCCAGATTGCTTGTCTCAGGGCAGAGCTGTAATTGCCAAGCCCTCCCAAGGGGTCAGTCCCCAGTTGCAGCACACTGCTCAGCTCTCCTCCCCCTGTCACTCCACACTGCCATTGGAATGACCAGGATAGAGAGAAGAAGGGGAAAGCCAGGTCCCTCCAGTGGGGAGGAGGGTGTCCCCATGATTCCCGTGCCCCCGCCCAAAGGACTACAGCACTGCCTGGTCCCACAGCAGCTGTAGCTGGACCATATCCAGCGAGAGACCCAAAGAGAGGTACTGCTCACCTGGACTCAGCGCACTGGCTCGTGCCATCCCTGCCTTGTCTCCCCTCAACTGTCTCTCAGCTCTCTGCCAGCACTGCTCACACATCCAATCTTAGCCATGCACAGGAACACCTGCAAGGTGGGTCTCATTCAAACAATATGGCAAATGGGGCACAAGCAAAGAAAGAAAGGTAAGATCCAAATCCCAGGGAAAAGCTTGTTCCTGAGGAATGACACCTAGGACTACAAAGGAGTCCCCACGTGCCTGCTTCACTGTCAGGACAGCAGTGCTGGGAGCTCTGGCACAGAGAACAACAGAGTCCAGGAACAAGCACAAGGAGACTCACTGTATGGATGCTGCTGATGGAGCCTGAGGGTGTCAATAAGGGACAGGGATGTTGAGGAGGCAACATACTAATAAAGAGTCAATTTCTCAGTTTTGTGCTAGGGAAACTGGTGCTGGTACTAAGGAGTCCCATTAAAGAGGAAGACACTACCCAAAGTTCAGTTTCTCTTCCCATTTTTTCACTGTATTTATTATATTTCAAATAAATTCTAAGTAGTTTTTGCAAAAAAACTTCTACGGCCACCAAGAAGGAGGTCTCCAGACAAGCTTTCTTCAGGAATACATTTTTGCTAAAGAAAACTGTAAAAAAAACTTTAAAAAAAAAAAGTAGAAACCATGAATCTAAACAGCATCACTTCCTTCTTTGAGTTTTTCTGCTTCAGAGTGAAGCCTCAGCAGCTCTTGTAAATTATATTGGTGCTTCATAAGCAGGAATCATATTGAGCTCGGTGGACAAGAGATTTCCAGTAATATCTAAGTTGCAGAAGCAAGGCAGTCTTTCCCAAAGCCATTGAATAAGAGGAGACTGTGAGAGCAGATAAGCAAAAAGCCAGATATAAGCAAAAGGCCTTCATCTTGCAAAAAGTCAAAGAAAGGGGAAAGACTGGAGTTGGGCAGCAGGTCAACAGCAGAGCTCCTGGCCTCTCTTCATGCCTCTTCCATAACATCTCCCTGTTTCCCCCAGCAAATGGAGACATGGCACTTCTGCTCCCCCAGGCCAGCACCAAGCTGGTGTTCCTGCAGAGCGGCATTTCAGCAGCTGGAGAACTGGCTGCATCAGCCCAGAGCTGAACTAATACAAGAGCTGTTTTGGCATCCAAGCTTGGAGGGGCTGCCTGAGTTAATGAAGCTGATGAGAACAGGATGGGGTGTAACAAGGTGCTTCTTACCGAAAAGCAGGGAACTTCCCCCAGGCTGCCTTCGGCTCCTGCAGAGCACTTGGGTTAGTTTGTAACTTATTAACACCAACATTGGCTTGATCAAAGTTCAGCACGTGCTTAGTTGCTCTTCTGGAACAGCG